AAAAAAAAAAAAAAAAAAAAACGCCGGCTGATCATGGCATCATGTGATTAGCTGTGTGTCGCATGATCTATCACACAGGGATATAAATAAACTAGTCAGTTTCTATTTTAACTTCAGTTCTTCTCCTTTTTCCGGCCCCTCTGAGTTACATCGAGAACATAATTTCTTTTAAATAGGTTCAGTCTTCCTCACTAAAAATTAAACTACGTGCAGTTTCGAAGAAACCGTGCAACGAAATAAAGTGTAATATAAACATGACGAAGGACTGAGCTGGAGGAAGGTATGGCTTCGTATGGCTGCCCTTCGTTCTTATCTGATCATGCAATACATACACATTTATATCCCTGGCATTTTACCATCTACTGTAGTTTGCGTTACCGAACAAGGCTTCTTACTGACGTAATCACTTCGATTTCACTTCGTTGTGGTCAAGCGCAGTTCTCTGGTTGTTGCTGTTTCTCTCTGCCTCGCTTTTTTTACACTGACGATTTTCTTAATTTTGCAACTTACATGAAATTACTTTGGCTTAATCTAGAACCCATTTTAAACGAAGTTTTTACTGATTTCGCAAAACATTCCAGGTTCATGCCAGTTTCATAGGTTCACCAGAAAAACCCAATCAGTTACATGTCTATTTCTTATGCGGATTTCCACTCAATGGCATTTATACGTGATGGTATCCGAGACAATAATATTATTGTGCAAGTGACGGGTTTCCTAATTAACTGGACAGGTGCCCAAAAATTGAAGAAAATAATGTCAGTCAAGAAACAAAATACCAAAGGTCATTATTTGAAGACATAGATGATCTTGAACACTTGCAAGGTTTTTATTTGTCGTAAGGAATTTTCAAAAAGCGAAGATTATCAATTTTAAAAATTCTCATAATGAAATCGTGAGTTATGCCTCACACACGAGGGGACTAGTTTTTGAGACTAGTCCCTGTAGCAAGTTGCGGCAGGAGCCCATGAGCTCCTGGTTGCGGGAACAAGTCCCATCCTGTGAACTTGCCATTTTTGCCTTAAATAGTCCCACGAATTCAAACCAGTTTGAATTTTTGGGACAGGTCCCTGCGACTCGTTCCTCAAAACGCTTCGGGTGAACTGTTCGTGGGACAAGTCCGTGTGACCAGTCCCGTCGTGTAAACTCTTCAGGGGACTAGTTTCAGGGACTAGCCGCAGGGACTGGTCGACCCCTCGTGTATGCCGACCTTTAGCTGTATTGGTGATAAGTTGACTATGATGAGTTCGAAATGAATTGTCTGTGTTCTCTCTGATTGGGCAATAAATAATAGTCGAAACTCTGGGTCATTTCATGCTCAGTGACTGCCCCGACTGGTCTAGAGGTTTTCTTTCTTTATGCTACTGAAGTGAAAAAGCCGTCACCGTGTCCAAAGCGAGCTGCTTTGCGACTCGTTTTCACTGCTTTGCGGCGCACATTTAACTGAGAAATAGAAAAGAATGAAACCTCTGTAACCAGGGTATTCAGTATTCTATTCAGTGAGTACCAGTGAGTATACTTATTATTTGGGCACGTGAAAACCGTTTGCAAAGTAAACAGCAAATTTAGAAGTATAGAGCATTTGCTTCACATGAGAACAAAAGTGCCAATAATTTTTTTCGCGAACTTTTTACGCTGCCCATAAAGCGACATTTAGTCATGATCAGTCCGGCATTCTTGATACAGAATACCCCTTTGACCAGGAATGGCATTTTTTTTTTTTTACTTTTCTTGAACAGATGACAAAAAATATAATGCAGTTGTCCCTACAATTATTATTAACTGAGGCACATCTCCCGCTTGCATTTGGCGTTTTCCTTTCCTTGGTGGTCTATGAATGGCGGGGGTTGTTACAAGTTGCGGCATTGCGGTACGGAACAACTTT